GGGTCAGTGACACAGGGAATGTCCCCCCTCAGCGCTGGGATGAACCATTGGTTGGTGGCTGGGGGGGCAAAGTGGGGGTCAGTGACACGGGGGGACACAGGGATGAACCACTGGTTGGTGGCTGGGGGGGATAAAGGGGGGGTCAGTGATATGGGGGGATGTCCCCCCTCACCGTGGGGATGAACCACTGGTGGGTGGCTGGGAAGTGACAAAGGGGGGGGTCACTGGGTGGGGGACACAGGGGAGACACGGGGGGGTACAGGGATGTCCCCCCTCACCGCAGGGATGAACCACTGGTGGGTGGCTGGGGGGGCAAAGGGGGGCCAGGGGGGGTCAGCAGGTGGAGGGGACATAGTAATGTCCCCCCTCACTGTCGGGATGAACCACTGGTTGGTGACCCCCCCCCGGTACCCACTGGTGTTGTAGACGTGCAGCTCGTCCACGATGCCCTTGTTGTGAGCCCACCCCATTTCTTTTGGGGTCACCCCACACCCTGTTGCCCCCCACAGGGTCCCTCCATGCCCCCCCCCGGTGTCCCCCCAGCACCCACCTGTGCCATACACTCACAGCTCATCCACAATCCCCTTATTGTGAGCCCTCCCCATTTGTTTTGGGGACACCCCACACCCCATAAACCTCCCACAGGGTCCCTCCATGCTCTCCCTGGTGCCCCCCCCCCGTACCCACCGGTGTTGTAGACGTGCAGCTCGTCCGTGACGCCCTCGTTATGAGGACACCCCATTTGTTTTGGGGTCACCCACACCCCACAAAGTCCCTCCATGACCCCCCCAGCCCCTGCAGATCCCCTCCATGCCCCTCCCAGTGCCCCCCCGGTACCCACCGGTGTTGTAGACGTGCAGCTCGTCCACGATGCCCTCGTTGCCTCCCCCGAAGACCACGATGAGCTCCTTGATGGCCACGGCCCTGTGGCCGTGTCGGGGCCTGGGCACCGGCCCGGCCCATCCCACCACCCGCTTCCAGCGCGGCTGCAGCGCGGGGGGGGCCGGGGGGGCCCGCGGGGGGGAACCCCCCCCGCCCAGGCCTGCCATGCGCCCCGCTGCCTGTCCTGGGGGGGGCAAAATGGGGGGTCAGGGAACACTGAAACACCCCATGGGGACACTGAGACCCCCAAACCCTCCCACTGACACTGACCCCCCCCGCTGCCTGTCCTGGGGGGAAACGGGGGGTCAGGGCACACAGAAACCCCTCAGGGACACTGGGACCCCAAAAGCCCCCCGCTGCCTGTCCTGGGGGGAAACGGGGGGTCAGGGCACCCAGAAACAC